GCGGGGCCTCTCTCAGGAGGGAAAGAAACACACAGACACAATTAATCGTCGAGTCCCAGGAAAATATGGGAAAATATGGGAAGTGGGGGGGAAGACGAAAACCCAGAATATATATATATATATATATATATATATGTATATATATATATATGAAAATATGGGGAATCTTTTTTATCTGTGTGCATTTATTTGTGTGTCCCAGGGCCCCTTCACTCTCGTCACCTCCGATTCGATCCGATTCGATCTCGATGGCGTCCGATGCCGAGCCGCTTCGACCTCGGCTGCCCACGGGGGTGCCGACCTCTGCCTCCACACGGGGGGGCCCGCCGGCCTGCCGAGCTCCGCCGACCCCCGACGCCTCCCGACGCGGCCGTCGAGGGCCGCCGATCCGACGGGATTCGAGCCCCGATCCGGCTTCTTCTGCTGGGCTCTGGGCTCTCCTGCCTGGGGGGGGAGGGGGAGGAGGAGGAGGAGGAGGAGGAGGAGGAGGAGGAGGAGGAGGAGGAGGAGGAGGAGGAGGAGGAGGAGGAGGAGGAGGAGGAGTAGGAGGAGGGAGGAGGAGGAGGAGGAGGCGGAGGAGGAGGCGGCGGAGGAGGAGGAGGAGGAGGCGGCGGAGGAGGAGGAGGGGGGATGATGGGCGGACCTGCGCCGAGAGGGCGCCCGAAGCGGGAGACGCCACCGCTGCCGCGTGATCCTTCGTGGGAGCCTCGGGGGGTCCCCGCAGTGCCTGCGCTCTTGGGGATGCCGTCCGGAGGTCGTCGGATCTGGTTGGCATCTGAGCGAAATCGGGACGACAGGGTGAAAGGGGGGTGGCCGAAATCTGGACGAAAGTCCGGTCGCGGTCATTTCTGCCAGGGCCGTGGAGGTCCACAGGGGCCCGAAGGCTCACCCAACCACTACCCATGGCCCCGCTCCGCCTCCATCCTCCGAGTGGTGGCCACAGTGCGTATCCTTTCATTTGCCAGCAGCTCTTCAGCTACAGTCAACCCGCATAGTAAGGATCGGTGACTTTTCAAGGTTACACGCCGGTCGTTGAAAGCCGTGATCGGATCCCCAGATCTCAATATTTCAAGCACCTTCTTATTTCAAACGTTGATGTGCTTTGGCTTTGTTTTGTTACTCTCTGGGAGGGCCGAACCCAATCTACTTCATCCGCCTTTCTACTTCATGGTTTTACCTATTTCTTCTGACCGACGTGTACCCCTGCATCCTTCCCTTTCGACCTATCCTTGGCCGATGTCGCTGGCCGCGCCCTACCCGCAAAGTGTCGAGATAGCCTGCCGCGGCCCTTGCATCCTTATCGTGCGTCCTTCTTATACGCATTGACTGTGCTTGTTGTTGAGGTTGCTCCAGGTGAAGGGCATTGCCGTTGCGGAGTTGGTTGGTGAGTCAATGCAGTGTGTGTCTGTGTGCGGGGGAAAGACATCATGGGCACCAGTTATCCCATAAGGACACGCCCGTTGTTGGCGCTGCCATGGTTAGCACATCGCGGCCTTCTCCACCTTCTGTGCATGCAATCCGAGGTGATGACGGCGATGGGTTGGGGGATGCTGATGATCGCGCTCATGCTGCTCGTTCTCGCGATTGTCGCGGTTGAGATCGTGACCCCGAATACCGTGGCCTTGGCAGAGCAAACGTACATACCTCTTTAGCGAGCAAAGGACTTGGATGCAGAGAGCCGAGTAAGTATGCGCAATGTTGCGCACGAGTGCAGGAGCAAGCGTTCGTTGTCGTCAAAGATTTCTGAAATCTGCTCCGCAGGCGGAAGGTCCTGTGAGGACGAGCGGAATGAGCTCGCACGGGTGGTGCACGCGTGAGGCCTGGCATCTCTATCGGCGAAGCTCGACTGTGTTCGGGGTGCCGGGGTCGGCGTTTCGGGGGACGGTTCCACACTTTGGGGAGAGAAAGTAGGCGCAGACACATATAAATGTCGATTCCCGTGGAAGCATTCGAAGACAGGGGAGGTGGATGGGGAAGACGAGACTCCAGATCATGTGGAACCATGTTGGAAATCCTGGAGCACGTGTCTATTGAAGTGTGTCTTTCTGGGCGCCTTCACATCCGCCAAATCTGAGGCCCAGGAGGCGCCCCAGCACCCCCGCGTGCCCCATGTGCATGTCGCCTCTCCGAGCGCCCCCGACGTTGAGCGCTCACGTATCCGTTTTGGGCCCGTGTGCGCGAGTGTGTGTGTGTGTGTGTGTGTGTGTGTTTGTGTCGTGTGCGTGTGTCGCGTGTGTGAGTGTGTGTATGTGTGTCCTCTCCCCGCTCTTGCACGCTGGCCAACTCGCTTCTCGGTGTCCCCGTGTAGCTCTAGCACTGGTGCAGCCAACTCTGCCTCGCCGTCGACGGAAACAGTGTGTGTGTATGTGTGCATGTGTGTGCTTGTGTTTGTTTGTTTGTGTGTGTCGGTGTGTCGGTGTGTCGGTGTGTGTGTGTGTGTGTGTGGATCTTCGCGTGACGGTGTGGAGCGAGCCCACGTTTGTTGACCCAAACATTGTGTGTGTGTGCGTGCGCCTTTCTATTCCTCGAGCGACAACAAAACAACTGCATCAGCATGAGCTGTATGAGGTCCGCGCGGATTTCTTGGACCTGCGTTGGGCCCCCCTGGCGGCGCCTCTGGCGCCCCCGTTGGCGCGCTCCGTGCGCCAGGGAGGGGGGTCCCACTGCTGCACTTGTCGCTACAGCCCGCGCCAGGCGCCTGGTTGGCTGGCCCGCTGCATGAGACTGTTGTTTTCCCCGCACTGGCTTGCACTGGCCCGCCCCTAACCCGGGAGGGCACGGCTGTTGCTCGAGCGCACGCGCCAGATGCACGCCTGCAATTCGCGCCCGTGCGCCCCGCACGGGCTCCGCCAGCTGTTGCTGCAGCGCCCTGGAGGAATCACAGTCTCAGTGTGTGTCTGTGTGCGCGTATGACGGAGACTGTTCTCTCCCCCTTCGCCCAGCGCCTGAGCTCGGGTCTAAGCACCCCTGCACGCTGCACGCACGGTTCGCCCGCCCACCCTTCACCGGGTGTTTCTCCCTGCGCGCCCGCTCGCCTAGTTCAGCCACGCGCACAGGGGGGTGCTGGGGGGGATGGGGGAGGGCTTCTTAGGAGCACCCTCTTTCCTAGAAGGCGCGGGCCTTCTCTATAGATGTAAGGCCGGCGCCTTCTGAGAAGCAGCCTGCTTCTAAGAAGCAGCCTCCTTCTAAGAAGCCCTCAGCCTCCCCCCTCCCTCCACCCCCTTGTGCGCACCGCCTACTGGTGCAGCCACCCGCTTCGGCAAGCGTTCCCCCGAGACCAGCTCTTCATCCTGAGCCGTTTCTGGACGGTCCCCCGGGCCCGTGGAGGGCCTGGGGGTGCTGAAACTCGGCGGCGAGCGAGGGGGGGAAGTGAGGAGGAGAAGGCCTTCTCAGAAGCCCTCTCGCTCGCCGCCAAGAAACCGTGGAGAAACCTCAGGATCTCCGTCTCTCAGGACCCGCCTTCCCCACCGGCGGCCGCCCGCGACGCCGTGTGCAAACTTCATGCCCGTCGGCGGCCCGTCCAACGGCTCTCGCCGTGGTGGCGTCTCCTCGGCCCAGTGGAGGAGCAGACCAGCGAGGCCCAGAGACGTCCGAAGGCTTCCCGACCGATGCAGGTCTGCCGGTGCAGGCGAGGGCTGGGCCTTCGACCTCGTGGAGCCCCCCTCCGTCCTTGTCTTTGTCGTCCGCCTCCTCGGCCTCGGCGTCCTCCTCTCCGCCTCCCCGTCTTACGTTCCAGATGCTTTCGGGCATCGGCGGCTCTGTGGCCGAGATCCTCAGGTGGGTCAGGCCGCGTGGTGGCGTTGTCTTCGGGGCCCGAGGTGGTCGCCGAGTCCTTGTCTGGGCGCATTGCGCACCGCGCTGCGCTCCATCCTGCGGTCTTCTGCATCCGTCCTCGGGTGGTGGTGGTGGTGGTGGTGGTCATCGAGGGGGAGGGAGCTGGAGGGAGCACGCGAAGCTCAATCCAAAATATGTCAGCTGTGCAAAGCGATCAAGTAGCAAGGCCAAGCCGATGCTCTATCGCCGAATCTGTCGCTAACGCCACAGAAGCTGACGGAGCCAGGCCAAGAAGCCGAATCTACCGCTAACGCCACTGCAGAGACCAGGAGGATTACCATGATTGTGCTGACAACGGCTACGTGAGAGCTAAGCAGTCTTCTACAACTGCCAGCTATCGCTAATGCAGGAGACGTCACGCGTCGAATATTCAGCTGACGGACAAACACACGTCTAGGCATCACATGATAATGTGTTATTACAAGCAGCGAAGTTTTTCAGGAATAAGGTAGACAAGCAAGACTGACGTTGGACCGGACGATGTACAAAATACAGCGAAAGCACATGCCAGGCGCCATCGCTGAGCAACCCTATTCTGACGCTGAGCGCGTGTGCGCGGCCGAAGCTAGCTGCTGGAACACAGGCCAGATCACGAGTTGAGGACTTTGGGCAGTCCACAGAGGTCGAGGGTACAGAAGGACGCCGTGGGACAGTGATATTCCCACCACCAACGTCGCAGAGCCGTGCGGGCGCAATGTGCGACTGAGCAAAGACTCAGATCCCTCGGAGTCCTTGGTTGCGCTAGCGCAAGGATGCCGGCTGGCGCGAGAGAAAAGGCAGTCAGCTTGCTCAGGAGCGTTCGTGTCACGAGGTTGGTATCGCGGACCGGGGGGGCGTATTCATGTACTCCAGATTTCGTGGAGTACGTTGTCGGGCGCGTACGTCCTGTGTGGGCATCCGCTTGCGTCCGCAGTGATCTCTTGACCTCATCGGTACAAGTCGGGCCGAGTCTGGCCAAAGCTGTGGGGCCCGTCTCAAGAGGCCGCTCCCGCCGTCCGTAGCCTTTTGGCTCAGGCCGTTTTGGTCCAAGCCGTTTTCATAGCGCCCGCATCGCAGAGCGGATTTCGTTCGGAAAACGATCGGATGGGCCCAGAGTGTCCTGGATCATTTCGTTCTGGATTTCGAGGTGAACTTCGTGCGGTTTTTGGGGGCCAGGAATGCAGTCTAAAAAATCCACGCGTAATTCACTTTGTTTTTCACTTGCCGCTTCGGAGTTTTGCATGGACAGAAGTCCATGCAACAATCCGCTGCAGCATGCAGCACGTCTGCAAGGGTGGCGCGCTGACGTTTCTGCTCAAGTACTTTCCGGGTGCATTTTCCCAAAGCGCCCCTGACCTGCGCCTTGGGATCCCTGGTCCTCGACGCCCCGACATCAGGGATGTCGAGCCTCGCTGGCGCCGCGCTCCCGCCCGTCAGCCTGCAGCTCCCGCGCCCAAGGCCGGCGATAGCGTGGGCGGAGGCGTCCAGCGCGTCGCCCGCGCCGCGGCAGCCCTCGACGCCCAGGATGGCCCGCGGGCGCCCCGTCGCCGGCAGACCGTCCGGCGGCCACGGTGAGGCCGCGCCGGGCCCCGGCGCCCTCGGCCCCTGCAGGATCCGCAGGCCTCATGGGCTCGGGCCTCCTCCTGGGCCTGCGGTGACTCTCCACGACCTCCTCGAGCTGAAGAGGTTCGGCCTGAGGATCTCCGAGTCTCGCCCGGGCAGCGGCACGCCGGGCCGGCGCATGGCCAAAGCGTGCACGGCGCCCGAGGTGCCAAGAGTGGAGCTGGTCAGCAGCGGGGCAAGGAGCGGCCAGACGAGCGACACCGAGTCGATGAGCGACACCGAGTCGACCTTCGACATCTTCTCCCGGGAGTCCCCGAGGCCTTCCGGGGTGGGCGCCGGGATCCTGCAGGAGCCTCGCGAGCCCGACCAACCTCGGCGACCGCAAGCGCGACAGACATCGATGACCTCGACGACTGTGAACCATCTGGGCCAGAGGATCTGCTACAGTCGAAGAAGGAAAAACACCATAAACAGAAACTTTTGGCGCGCCGCGCGGTTTTCTTGGATCCGAGCTGGGCCCCCCCCCTGGCGGCGCCTCCGGCGCCGCCCCTGGCGCGCTCCGCGCGCCAGGGAGAGGGGTCCAGCGCGAAATCAAGGAATCCGCGCGGAGCGCCAGAAGTTTATGTTCATGTGGTGTTTCCTTTGCGCAGGCCGCCCAACCTCGACGACCGCAAGATCATCCTGTGCTCCGCGGGCCCGAGGCAGTCGGGCAGCGAGGCGGTCGGGCCCGCGCGCCCGCCGGCAGAGGCGCCCGCCCACGTCCGCCCCGGCCACGCAGGGAGGTCGCTTTCGACGAGGCCCCCGCGCTCCGCGGGCAGCTGAGGCACTGCTTTTGGGCAGCTGGGAGGAGGAGGATGAGGACGAACGCAGAGGAGGAGGAGGAGGAGGAGGAGGAGGAGGAGGAGGAGGAGGAGGAGGAGGAGGAGGAGGAAGAGAGGGAGGAGGAGGGGGAGGAGGGAGAAGGAGAAGGAGGAGGAGGAGGAGGAGGAGGAGGAGGAGGAGGAGGAGGTGCGGCTACCCCGGACTTCAGACAGAGGCGGCAACGATCACCCGCGACGCCGGAGAGCTTAGATCCTGCGACTTAATTCGTTAATTTGCAGCGGACCTGTAGATCGTCTGCAGTACATGTCATTTGCCTGTGTTGCTGAACAGACTCAACAACTCAAGCGATTATAATTCTTATAGAGTTCAACCTGGTTGATTATGCCAGTGCTGCTACCAGTCGTGCTGACTAGGTGTTCAACCAGTTCATGCTGCTGAATCCAGTCGCGATGCCCGCACTGTTGTCCGCATGGTTGATCCAGGAGCGAACTCCTGGTACTTCATGCACGGTCCAGGACAGACCCCTTGCTACCTCACGCTCGGTCCAGGACCGACTCCCTTCAACCTGACTTAGATGTCACGCCAGTTTTCTGGTCACACCCGAGAGCAGCCACGGTGCATATTCTATGTTCTGAGGTCCCAAGATTGACCGCCTGCACACTGGTACAGGCACACTGGTACGGGCACACTGGTACAGGCACACGGTCCCAAGGCATTCTGGTGCAATTTTTGATTCTTCGGTCCCAAGGTTGACCGCCGCGCCCGAATGGTACAGGCCAGCATTGCATCGCGGCGCGCGCCCTTTGCACGTTCAGGGCAGTGCTGGTACGAGTCACAAGGGCCCCTGAAGCCACATCACAGCACCATTCCCAGGAGATGATTTTGGCGGCAGATGACTGTTCGAGCGCGACTCCGCTACATCCAGCGCGGGGCATCGGGGGATCGGTGCTCCGGGGGGAAGGGGGAGGAGGAGGAGGAGGAGGAGGAGGAGGAGGAGGAGGAGGAGGAGAAGGAACGCGCGCATGCGAGAGCACGTCGATGGATACGGCATCTGGCGCTGCCTGTGCATGCGGCAGTGGTCTGGAAGGTATGACTTGGTGACGTTGACAGCGCTTAGCGGCCATGTCAATCGAGCGCCCACGCTTGGTGCTCACATCACTGTGCTTTCTCGGTCGGCTTGCGGGGACAGCCGGGTGCAGCAAGCATGCTACAATGTTGTTTCTGCGCTCGCAGGGTGGCGCAATGCGAAAAGTGTCGGGGCGCCAGGTGGGTTTGCCTCCCCTGTCGGTAAGACGCAGGGACCTGCGTGCTTTGTTTCTTTGATGATTCTGCGCATGCTGTCCTAGAGCTTAAGTTTTTTTGCGCTGGTTCGATTATGTATGACGTCTGCGTCTGTGCGATCATCCTTTTTCTCGGCCAGCTGGGCCTCCCCACAGCGCCACGGACCAAATGATTCAACAGCGGCCCAGATACAGAGGAGGGGCTCAATTACGTCTCCGCGTGCTGAAAGTTCTCTATTTTTTCGTGGGCGCCCTTCGGATGCGATGTCAATGGACGCGTCACCCGGGGTCCTCATCCATGCTGCTCGGAGGCAGGGGTGGGGACGCTCTCGGCTCCCCTCGCTCCCACGCCCGACGCATCTCCGGATGTCCTGCCTCCACTCTCCTCCGCCTTCCTGAAGGCCGCTTGGTGCACGGCCGCGCTTCGCCGACCCACGCCGTGGGCAAATGCTTCATCGTGCGCACGTTACGTGCACTGCTGGCGCGACCAGCACTCGATTACAGCGTGCATGTGTCGCACAAGCGCCGAGCAGATAACACTTCGTTTGCGAGCTTGCGAGCTCTACAAAAAAAAGGCCGCTCCCGCCGCCACAAAGCAGTCGGATCCAGCGGGCGACGGGTCTCGGAGGTGTTCCGTTGTTTTCGGGTTGCGGGGGCCATCCCAGGACCCCTTGGGCCGTCATAAGACGAATCGGGATGAAAAGCTGCTCCTGGGTAAGGACCCTACGGTCCAGGACCCGTTTTCCTCGGGATGCCCTGTGGGTGCCCTGTATCTGTTGGGCTCGAGGAGCCAAGGGAGGAAGAAAAAACACACAGTCCCCGACACGTGGCGTTTACTAAACGGCCTTGGGCGTTTACTAAACAGCCCTGTCCCGCTCGATTCCTTCCTCGGGGGCGCTTACTGCACGGCTTCGCTTGTGGGGATGATTCTTGTGGGGGTGGATTTCTTGCCCTCTAAGGAGGCCTTCGACCCGAGCACCAGGGCTCCCAGACGTTGCCTCTGCTCACGGCTTCTTGTGCTGGCTTCCTTCTGTCTGCGACCATTTGCGAACCCTTCTCGTGTCGGGCCGGCGCGGCGGCGACCCCGCCGAGGGCGTTCGAGGTGGACGGCCGCAAGTGGCCCAGCATCGGCCAACAAGGATCGATCTGGCGATCGAGGTGCCGCGGACCTTCGGAGGGGCTCGATGTATATGCACCACGTCGGTTGGTCGGCCAGGGAGGCACGGAGTTCGGCGAAAGAAATCGGTGTATAGACGTTCTAGCCCCCCACAGGTCAGGCAGCTGGGACGTCTATACACGAAGCTCCCTTGCCGACTAGCTGACGTGGTGTATATATCGAGCCCGTGTCAGACCTTTCAAAGTTGAACGTTCCTCGGGGTGTCCGAAACCAGCGCCGAGGTCGTCACGCCGCCAACTTGCCGTGCGTAGGCTGTCGCTGCGTGCCGACTCGTCGCATGTGCGCAGCCGTATCTCGGGCGTACCCTTCGCCTCTTATCATATAAGTCGGGCGTGTCCCTCTGCAGGAGGAATATTCAAGAACAGTCACGAACTAGTCTGGGGACGATGTTTGACTATCTGTGATTATTTGCTTGCCAATTTCCGATTGTTCTTGCAAACCCGCTTGTAGGAGGACATGCCCGACCTAACTCTACATCGAAGATGCTTTTCACGTGTGTGTGTGTGTGTGTGCTGAGAGCGTTGCGCGATCGGGTTAGCTGCTGGTCCGCAGCAGGGCACATGGCTCCAGGGCACGCAGCAGGCAAACCGTAAGTACCTACGCATGGTTCACGTCATGCCAGTACAGCTTATGTTTGTCAAGTGCAGCTCCTATTCGCCCATGCCAACCCAGCGCAGCCTTGTATTGTCCAAGGCTGTCCACACCAACGTAGCCCAGTCCACCTCGGCTTTGCCTAGTTCTGCTTATGTTCGTTCATGTTTGTCGAGACGAGTGGAACTCAGTCCTGTTCTAGTCCAGTCGAGGCCAGTCCATCTCGGCCACGCTTCGGCCTTGACCTCCCACTTTGAGCGGACGTTTGTTCGAGACAGCGCAGCCCAGCTCAGCCTGGCTAAATCCAGGTTAGTCCAGGTTTGCCCATGTCAGTCCACGCCTCGGTCCAGCTCAGCATTGTCTGCTCGAAGACTTGTCGTCTCCAGTGATCTCTAGAGTTGCATGGGTTCTTACCCTGGCACAGTGTTATTTGGTAACCTGACCTTGGATTCAGATTCGCTGACCCTCTCTTTCTGGGTGAGCTAGAAGGCGCCTGCCACTCGCGATGATCTTTGTATCAGTCATGGGGGGCCCGTGTTGACCGTGCTGCTTGACAAGGTGCTCGAGCATCCCCTCGGGTTCAAGCGGCGGAGCAGCGACGACCCTACAGCAATGCGACCCTCTTCGCCCGCGGCCCCCGAGAGGCCTCCACCGCCTCCCTGGGGGCAGCCTCCTCTTCTGGACCCCGCGGGGTGGGCCCCGGACTCCGGCCCACGGGCCACGCGCGGCCGGGGCGGAGGCGAGCCGCCCGGACCGGGAAATGGCGAGGCGGCCGCAGCGGAGAAGGCCAGACCTCCAAGAGCATGTTTTTTTTAGACTCTGGCATGGCAAGTTTACTTGCATGGACGGGGGGGGGGGGCTGAGCCTGAAGCCAAGCCGCAGACGACTTGCACGTTCGGGGGGGCGCGGAGACCACGCGAGTCGAAAGGCACTTGCACGCTAGCATTCGCTTGAAGAGAAGCGAGGGGGGGGGGGGGGGGGGGGCGAACGCCGTGCAAGTAAACTTGCCCGAATCCAAAAAAACAGGCTCAAATTAATTATCAGGGAGATCTCCACGGTCGTTTGCGGCGGCGCTCGCCGAGGCCCTCGGCGCGCCCCCCGGGGCGCGGAGAGGCTCCACGGGAGGCCTCCGAGGGCGCGCTGGGCGCGGAGGGAGCAGCCCCGAGCGGAGGGCGGCACACCTTTCGGGTCGCTCCTCGCTCGAGGGCCCCGCGAGGTGGCCTTCGACCAGATGGACCCCAGCTGCGACGAGTCCTTCTCCTCTGCCCAGGGCTCGGCTGTCCAGCGCCCCCCCCCCCCCCCACCCACGGCGCGACGGCGCTGGCGCCCTGCTTGCTATCCTGGCCCCCCCCCCCCCCGCCTCCCCCAGCGGCCCATGCCTCCCATGGGCCCTCTTCTCCCCTCCCCGTCCTTCCTCTCGCCCCTCCCCGTCCTCTCCCCCCCCCACACGCCGCCCCCTCCCAGCCAAAACCTCCTCCAGAGCCTCTCTCCTCCCGTCCGTCCTCCCCCCTCCCCGTCCTCTCCCCCCCCCCCCCCACCCTCCCAGAGCCTCCTCCCCGTCGCGTCCTCCCCCGCCATCCTCCTCCCCCCCCGCGCGCCCTCCTCCCTCGAGAGGTTCCTGTGCGTGTTTTTTAGGACACCAGCCCTTGTCGCCCGCTTTCGGGCCCCAAGGCCTTCACACATCGAGCCGGCTCGCTAGATGCCGCAGGAAGGTGGGGTTTAGGGCTCTGGTCGCGGTTTTTCCCGATGCTGCCGCTCTTTCGCCACGGCGGATCTCAGGGTCCCTGGTCTTCCTCCTTCCCCTCTTCCCCCTCCTCGTATTCCTCCTACCAACTCCTCCTCCTCCTGTTCGTAAGATGTAAATCCTGGAGGCCTCGCGCGGCGCGCCATAGTTGTGACATCCAGTCCGCACGTCCGCTCCGTAAGATTCGGGTCGACGTTCGCGCGGCGATGCTCTGACGTAAGTCCGACGTGAATCCGACGCAGATCTGGCGCAACCCGACGTAAATCCGACGTACATCCGACGTATATCCGACGTATATCCGACGTACATCGGGTCTCAAGTTGCCGCGCGAGGCTTCCAGGCTTTTCCTCGTCGCTTCTCTAGGGGGCCACATGCGAACCCTACCCCTACCCCCCACGATTTCTGAGGGGGGCATGGGGTAGGGTTCGCATGCGGTCCCCTATTCTCCCTCCTCGAGATGGCTCCTCGGCGTCTGCCGCACGTCGTGCGTGGCTCAGGGAGGGCGCGGCTTGGCGCGCGCAGGCAGGCAAGTCATCGGCGTGCGGAGGCGCACATGAGGCCCCCGGCACTTGGTCTGCCAGCGCGGTCCGCCGTGCGCAGCTCGCGCGCGTGCCTGGCAGGCGCGGTCCGTCCTCGGTGTCGTTCTGCCACGTTCGGGCGGGGCAACAACACACAGACACGATGAGTCGTCGATCCCCCAGAGATCAGGGGAAACTGTGGGGAGTGGGGGGGAAGACAGAAGCTCGGAGAATGTGGGAAAATAGGGGGAATCCTGTGATGTGCGTGTATTTGTTTGTGGGTCCCAGGGCCCCTTCACACGTGTGCTCTTGCCGCGGGGCCCTGGTCCCTGGGCTGGCGTGCGCCGCACGTGCGAGTGTGCACCGGAGGGCCGCGCCGCCTCGCCTCTTTGGTGCCAGACCCTCTGGCGGCGGCCGACGGCGCCCCTGGCCCTGCCCAGGCAGTCTGCCTCGCGCCCAGTGGGTGATGGCGCGCCTCTCCATCGCGACCGCGCTGCCCTCGACTTCGGCCGCGGGCACTGGCCGTTCGCCTTCCAGCGCACCTGGGTCGGGTGCCAGAGGCCGCCTGCGCACTCCTCCTGGCAGAGACCCTCCACGCGTGAAGCCTGCCCCCCGCGTGCCTACTCCTCCTCGTCCTCCTGCTGTTCCTCCTTTTCTTGGTCGAGCTCAGAGCGGTCCAGCCGCTGAAGCGTCAGTGTACTCGGCAGTCGGCGCCCCCGACTGCCGAGCGAAGCAAGGGTGCAGAGGCCTCGACCTTCCCCGAGGCCGACAGCACACGCATGAAGCGCTGCAAGGAGCGTGCACTCTCGGCGCCCGTCGAGCGTTGCCATCCTGACCAAGGTACACCCACAACATCTCCGCCCTCATCCCAACCACGTGCTCGGGCGGGCGCACGAGCCAGCATTGTAGCCGTCGATTGACGACACCAGCAGGAGCAAGGAAGAGATGAGGACGTCAAATTACACCAGGACGGGGTGGAGAAGGGAAAGGTGACTCGCCCCTGGTAGCACGCCGCCAGGACGGCGAGTCACGGGCTCAAGAGCAGGAATTTGGGGGACGGGGAGGCTTGGGGTGGCGCTCGACGGTTTGTTTCGCCCGCCTTACCACTTGCGCCTCCCGTGCCCCCCCCCGTCCCCTAAAGGAGAAGAACAGCTCCGTCTCCCCCTTGGTCGGCCCCTCGATAGTTCATCTACTCCGCAGTAGCGCTAAGCACGAGTACGACCTTCGTACACGAGGGGCCGCCAAGGGGGAGGACACATTCAAGCACTCCTCCTCCACCAAAATCCACTCAACCGACTCCTCCTCCAGATTATTGTCGCCCAAGGCGACTAGACAGACGGTAGCCTCGCGAGGCTCCTCTCAGCCTGCAGGCTGGGCAAAGCACACAGATACTGATCGTCCCGCCCCTACACAATCGCTCCAAAGCAAACCTATAGGTTCCTGCGAAGACTCGCCGACAGAGTCATGAAGAAGCGGGCCCTTCTGAAGGCCCGCCCAATCAGAACACCAACGACTCGTGGAAGTTCAACATAGTGGCTATGTTGTCCATGGTATTCGTGGCAGCAACGCTCGGGCCCATGATGACGCAGCTCCATCTGATAGTCGCAATGTGTGTGAATAATTA